CTCTCAACTCCTTTGCAACTGGAACCACTTTAAAAACAAAAACCCGATTTAAAGACACTTAAATTTGCTGCATTTTGACTTTTTTGACTGCACCAGCCCGGAAACCATCATCAAGTAGGTATCCGGCTGGCCAGCCCCGCCCCCTGACCAACCGCCCTGTCGCGCTTATTTTAAACAGATTTGGTTCGTTACAACTTACAACTTGTCTTTCCGTTAAATCAAACTGAAACTTCGCGAAACTGTCAAGAGCCACCAAAAACGGACACTTTTTCCCCCTGCCCTCTTAACAGTAGTTTCCATAGTTTCCGACAATGACATTGTCGGGGCATTCATTTTACGACATTAATGTCACCGTGTGAACGAGCTTTTAGGGTAATAGCGGCATCTGTAATGCGCTGTTTTAATTCCTCCTTTGTACGTATTTCTCCGGCATAAACCAAATTTGTATCCTGCTCCATACGGGAAAGTCTAACGCAGTTAGATCTGGGCGTCTAGCAGGCCATGCTGTAGGGGTCTCCTCTCCCCCCTCCATCAGACGCCTCTCAGTGGCTGCATTCAGCAAAATCATGTTGGCGGGACAGCAAAACTGTCCAATCTATACTCTGTAGTCTGTGCGACTGAAACTTCTGGAAACTGTCAAGAGCCACCAAAAACGGACATTTTTTCCACCTGCCCTCTTAACAGTAGTTTCCATAGTTTCCGACAATGACATTGTTGCAGGTACATGACGGACGGGATGCTGCTGCGCGAGTGCCTGATGGATCTGGACCTAAAAGGCTACGCCGTGGTGATGCTGGACGAGGCGCACGAGCGCACCATCCATACCGACGTGCTCTTCGGCCTGCTGAAGCAGGCCGTCACCAAGCGGCCCGAGCTCAAGCTGATCGTCACCTCCGCCACGCTGGACGCCGTCAAGTTCTCCCAGTACTTCTTCGAGGCGCCCATCTTCACCATCCCAGGTAGGTCCAGTGGGTAGGTAGTCTGGTCTAGTCTCACCCCCTCTTCCTGCAGGGCGCACCTTCCCGGTGGAGGTCCTCTACACCAAGGAGCCGGAGACGGACTACCTGGACGCCAGCCTGATCACAGTGATGCAGATCCACCTGCGCGAGCCGCCCGGCGACATCCTGCTGTTCCTCACCGGGCAGGAGGAGATCGACACCGCCTGCGAGATCCTCTACGAGCGCATGAAGTCGCTGGGGCCGGAGGTGCCCGAGCTGATCATTCTGCCCGTCTACTCGGCGCTGCCCTCCGAAATGCAGACGCGCATCTTCGACCCGGCGCCGCCCGGCAGCCGCAAAGTGGTGATCGCCACCAATATAGCCGAAACGTCGCTCACGATCGACGGCATCTTCTACGTGGTCGATCCCGGCTTCGTCAAGCAGAAGGTCTACAACTCGAAGACGGGCATGGACTCGCTGGTGGTCACGCCCATCTCGCAGGTGAGTGCCGGCCGCTGGCTTGTCGAGGGGGGCGGGGCTTAATGTTCTGATAGGCGCAGGCCAAACAGAGGGCGGGCCGCGCAGGCCGCACCGGCCCCGGCAAGTGCTACCGCCTCTACACCGAGCGCGCCTACCGCGACGAGATGCTCCCCACTCCGGTGCCCGAGATCCAGCGCACCAATCTGGCAACGACGGTGAGCGCCATCTGTTTGTTAAGCGTCGAACTTGCAAACCATCTGTTTTTACAGTCGGCTATTTTGATTGCCCGCAACTACGCTTGCGCGTTTTTTCAGTTTTTGAGTTGCCGGCAACTTTTATTGCACTTGCCGGCTCTATAGTTCCAAACCGAAAATTTCTTGCAGCTGGTCGCAATTTTAGTGACTTTTCTGGTTCTTTTCAGGCTGCCAACTGTTCGTTCATAGTAATATAAATCACCAGCATTATGTTAATCACACTAATTTCCTTGGCAATATAATTGTAACCTCAAGCGAAAACAAAACAAACAAACAAACAAACTTTGGATTTTTTTACGTATAGGGAATAGTTGGTACGCTTGATGGATTTGTCTAAATGGGAAGTTTAACATTGCACACTGTAGAGCGGAGTACTAAAAATATAGCTGCAAGAAAATAGCCGCAACAAAATTGCCGACTGTAAAACGC